ACGAGACCGCGGGATCGCCGTCCGGCAGCGCCTCCGCCAGCCCGTCGGCCTAGAGCGCTCCTGCGGCCAAGTGAGCGGAAGGCGATGTTTGCGCTACGTTTCGCCGAACTGGTGGATTTTGTGGCTTTTTTTTTTTCTTTTCTTTTCTTTTATGTGGATATTCCTTCTGTTCGTAGGAATTCTCTGTATTCTTTTGTAGCAGTTTTACTCTAATATGCTATTTGTTTCATATATCTGCAGCTTTTTTTTCTTTTTGCTAATACAGAGGGATATTCCTGCTATTTGCAGCGTAAATCGTAGCACTTAGTGGTATTCTTTTGTAGCCTTTTTTTCTCCCTTTTTTGCTAACATACAAGGATATGCCTGCTAGTTGTTAGCATATACGTAATCTATTGGTATTATCTTAAACATGTATTTACTTTTTACAATCGGTAAAATCGACTGTTGATCCCAATGATAATGTAGCGAGAAAAGTTTTGCTGCCTCGGCCTAATAAATCAGCTGATTGGGACTTTGTTTACCTTTTGTGTCTCGCCCCCGAAATGGTCTGCTGTTTCAGATGCAGGCGTAAAGCATCTATCTTTATACCTGTATGTTTGCATTGATGTGTGTGCTTATTGCTTTGTTTGCATTCCATTTATGTATCCACTCGCCTGTCTTAAGATGGATCAACTATATATTGATACACACGCACACACGCACACACACAATTATACATTATTATATATATATATATATATATATATATATATATATATATATATATATATATATATATATATATATATTTATATATTTATATATATTACATAAAAAAAACATGATGTTCTGCGAATGAGGAACCAGGCAACGGAAAACACGTAAATATTTTCATTACTTTATTACAGATTTACAAATAAATATTACATTGAACTAATAAATATCATTAAATATTTACAATAAATAATGAAAAATACCCAAAGTGAGCCGACCTTCATGAAAGCATTCGGGTCCGACTCGCCTCCACATCCAAGTGAAGTTTGGTTCTTTGACTTCAAAACGTGAGGAAAACAGACAGGAAAATTACTAAAAATCACACACACGCGCTACTAACTAATACTCAGTACAAATGCCAAATAGTACAGTGCAATCCATGCATACAGAATTACACTCGGTATTTCAGGTTTAACATCCAATTAAATATATTTGGTGCTCTCGAGAAAAAAAAAATACAAGTACGTAAAATGGTTGAAAATATGGCTCTACCAAAATCTAGTCATGTGAGGGGAAAATAATGTAAATCACTCGTCACTCATTTTCCTGGCAATTCGTCAAAAAAAAAGAAAAAAAACTTGATCCGAGGAAAATCAGTGTGTGCTATAATGCAAAAAAAAGTTTCTTAAATAGGTCATAAGTTACGTGGAATAAGACCAGCTAATTCCATAAGTTAATAACATTGCTAACTTAAATTGTTAAGCATCAAAAGAAAAGAGACACAAATGAAAACAAAAAATATATATAAAAAAATATAAAACAGTAACAATGTACGAAGATCGAAAGGAGTTTGAGCCAGAGCAGAGCGGCGGGCGGGCAGTGTGTCTCGAGTTGAAAGGACTCCAGGTTTCCAGCAGGCTGAGGCTACCACTGTACGTGACAGGCGCTCTAGTTATTGATTGGTAACTGTAGTAAAGCTGTGGCTGCTGGGCGTGCAGGGATGCGACAGGGCTTGGAGGCTGCCGTGCGTCGGGGAGACGGACCCTTCGCGGAGACGCACTGCTCTGGCGGAAGGAATCTTTCAGAGGTCTTGAGGGAGTATTCCGGAAAGGGAGGCCAGGAAGGGGAGTGTAGGAGAGGCCGTCACCACCCTAGTGGAGACCCTCGCCGCAGCCGGCCGTGTGGCGCGACGGCGAAGGTCGAGGCGTCAGCGCCGTGGCTGACAGTGAAGTAACAATGACGAGGAACGCGTGGGCACCAGCGAAACAACTGACTCCTGGCGTCAGGGCGGCGTTATGGCACAGTGCAGAGTTTCAGGCGACCGGCGGCTTAGTTGCCACCTGCCACCTTCACGAACTCGGGGTTGTCAAAGCCCTGCACGAAGGTGGTGACACCGCCCTTGGCGTTGAAAGTCCGCACGCGCGTGTACAGGAAGCAGGCGACCAGGCAGGCGATGGTGAGGACCAGCAGCAGCATGACCAGGCCCGCGGCGAAGCCCGTGGCCGACATGCAGATGTTGGAGGCGTCGTCGACCGGCTCCGACACGACCACGGTCTCGTTGGCTGAGTTCAGGTTGAAGGCGACGTCCCCGGGGGCGACCACCTGGATCACGCGCGCCGTCGACACGTCCGTCATCTCCTGCGCGGCGCGGCGGTACACGTGCAGGACGGCCGACCGCCTCACACGCTCCTCGCCCTCCTCGTTCTCGAAGTCCTCCTCCTCCTCGTCCAAGTTGATGGACCGAGGGCGCCCGGCGCTGTCCATGGGCGTGCCCTGGCGGTTAACGTTGGGGTACTTGCGGGCGGGGAAGTTGAGGCGCTCCTCCTGGATGGGGATGCTGACGGGCACCGGGATCTCGCCGGATTCCGAGTCGAGCAGGATGCCTTCGTCGTCGCCGGACTTGCGCTGGGCGCTCTGCGGGGGAGCGACGTTGCCCGAAAGGTCGACGTTGGGGCGGCGTGGATCGGGCAGCCCCACGGGGATCTGCTCGCTGCCTGCCGCCTGGTAGCCGAGGGCCGGAGGGGGGACTCCGCCGTCGCACTGCGGCTCGGGGCAGCTGTAGCGGCAGACCTGGATGACGCACTGGAAGTGCACGTTCATGCTGTCGGGGAACTTGAAGGCCTGGAAGTAGGCGTAGGACACGACGGAGGCGGAGGAGCCGAAGTTCTTGACCTTCTGGAAGCGGCCCATGATCTTGGGTCGCGTGACGCATCCGCGCTCGTCGACCAGCTGGATGGGCGCCCGCTTGCCGTCGTGCGCCACGCAGTTGCGCACCATCATGTCGAACTTGTTCTCGTCGTCCTTGATGGCCAGCACCATGGTCATCGTCTGGCCGATCTTGACGATGCCGGAGACCTCAGAGGCCCAGGGGCCCTTGCCGACCTGGATCTGCATCCAGCACTGGAGGTTGTCGCCCAGGAAGTTGGCCGTCACGGCGTTCAGCATGTCCACCTGGAAACGGAGAAGTGTCAGTGATGGCGACCTACTCTCACTATCCGCAAATAAAGGCAACGGAAGGCAAACCAAAGCAACGGAGATCTTTATCGAGCACCAACCTGGAAGGGCCTGAAGGTGACGGACTTCTCATAGTAGTCGTACCAGGTGCAGCGGAGCTTCCTGGCAGCGTCCCAGACCTGTGAAAAGCATCATCATCAAATACACCGTTCGATATCCAGAACCTTTTCGTTCAACCAAGAATACTCTGATGTTAATTCATAGAGAATTGTCTCTGAAGAACCTACCTCCTGAACAAGAGGGTCGTACTGAATGATAATCGTGTTCTCGATGAAGGTTCCCGAAGGAGTTGGCTGGCCGTAGTTGGCAGTGCTGGACGAGGAGGTCATTCCACAGCTGTTCAGGTTGATGCTGAACTGCGTCTGCAGGTTTCCTGTTCCGGGCTGCACGTACACGCAGTTGGGGTCGCTGCAAGGAATGCCGAAGGGTCAGAGACAGAGCCTTTAAGCCTGAGAGAGTTTTAAGCAATACTAAAAGGGTCAGTGACAATGCCCTTCCATTTAAAGGGTCGTTATAAGAGTCTGCGGCAAATTACTCGTTTGTGGGAATCGCTATAATCATTGCCAAAAGGTTGAAGAGAAAGCTCTCGATTCAGGGGGTCACGGTAACCATCACCGAAGTGCCAGAAATAAAGAATGCACAATGCCCTTCGCCTCGACGTACCTGTAGTAGCCTTTGCTGAAGATCATGCCGTAGAAGGGGCGGTCGAACTCCACCGAGACTCGCATGAATGACTTCTCGCACTGAACCTGAGGGTCAAAAGAATAAACCTTCAGTTTATCTAATAGACTAGCATTGGATATACGAAGACTCCTTTCATACATCAATAATTATGTCACTATTTTAGACCAAGCAGATGACAAACAGTTTCAAAGAATTCCTTGTTATTCAGCGAAATCGCACCTGTAGGTTTTTGATGGTCGGCATGTCAGGCTGGGTGAGGGGCCAGGGGTCATTTGGTACCCCGGGGACCCCACCGATCTGAGGTCCGCCCAACTGAGGGCCCGCCAGCGGGGGCCCGTAGCTGTCTCCTCCCCGGTGCTCGACTGGGAGGGCCGAGGAGTCCAGCGCATTCTGGTCGTATGACTGAGACTGAAAGGAAAAAATAAAACATTACTCTCACATGAAAAAATAGATGGTGAGAAGGGTCGCCTCAAGCATCCCTATCCTGCTCATCAAAAGGCGATTAACGTAACATTCAACATCAGAAGAGAAAGAGAGAAGAGCGACGACCAGCGCGCGTGCACATGATCGCGCGGAGAGGCGGGCGCGGAGCGAAGGAGCAGGCGGGAGGAAGGCCAGTGGGTCAGCCGAGCGCGGGCGGGGAGGCGGCCTCCGCGCCCTCCCTCTGGCGAACGCTGGATCAAAGAGGAAATTCGGAAGCGAGAGGAAAGGAGGCAAGGAGGAGAGATAAGGGGCTGAGAATTGAGAGAGAGAGAGAGAGAGAGAGAGAGAGAGAGAGAGAGAGAGGAGAGAGAGAGAGAGAAGAGAGAGTGTGTGTGTTACTCAACTTTATTACTCAACATATTTGTAAGTGCGCACATCAGCCTTTGATAATTTCGTCTCGACAAGAAACGCTTTAAAGAAAATGTACAATGTAAAGTCTTAATATATCATTACATTCAGCTAAAGATGACCCTCCCCTCTCCCCTCCCCCCGCCCGGCTTCGAACGTACGCGAGGAAGTGCGGGACAAAATTATACCAATAAAATCAAAAATAAAATGAGAATAAAAGAATGAATGAATAAAACAGAGACACGCCAGCGACGGCCTCCTTCGCCCGCAGCAACGGCGGTATGACGATGCAAGGTCACGGAGAGGAAGTTCAGAGCGAGCAGACACATGCCAATCAAGCGGACATTGATGACACTAATGACACACCAAATGCCAGGGAGGGACGGGAGGGGAAGGAGAGGGAAGGAGGGAGGAAGGTGTGGTGTAGGGCCAGGGGTAGGGTTGGGAGGGAGAAGGCGAGAAGGTAGGGGCCCAGGGGTAGGGGTAGGGAGAAGGTACGAGAAGGTAGGGCAGGGTAGGGAGTAGGGCAGGAGGGGGAGGGGTAGTAAGGCTTCCGGGTGAGTTGGCAACGAGAAAGGGCGAAAGCAGCTCGTGTCTCGTTTTCCTGTTTTTCCGTCTGCTTGGTGTAGCTTTGGTAGACGCACAAGATCGTGTTTTTTTTTCAATTGCAGAAACAGGAAACCGCGTGAGATAAAGAAAAGCAATGATTATATAACAAGGGATAAATCAGTAATGATGCAGAAACACTGAGTTGCAACACCGGGGCAAGCTGCAATATGAATATACGAGTACTTCACAATAATATTAATAAAAAAAGCTTAGTCCAACAGATGCATTTGCAATTAGAGAATCGGTATTAAGTAGGAAAGTAGGAAAAATTTTCGTCGACTGCCCCCCCCCCAAAAAAAAGGAGAAAACATAAGGCCGGAGAACGAACGCGCGAGAAAAAGGAATTCGAATTTTCGCGGGCTAACCGTCACAGGTTCCGATTCCATAAATCCATAAGCGATGACGAAATCCTCTTTCCCGACGCCGCTTAAAAGGGTTTTGAGGTGGCGAAGGCGTGAGTCATTTGATTCTTAGTTTTTGATTCCTCTTCTGGGGTTTATGAGAGCGGAATTTATTGAAGTTATCCGCACCGGACGGAGACGGAGGGAATGAGTGCGGGAAGGGGTTGGAGGAGGAGAGAGGGAGGAGGGAAGAGTGCAGGAAGGGGAGGGAGGGAGGGAGGGAGGGAGGAGGGAGGGAGGAGAGGGAGGGAGAGGAGAGAGAGAGAGAGAGGAGAGAGAGAGAGAGAGAGAGAGAGAGAGAGAGAGAGAGAGAGAGAGAGAGAGAGAGAGAAAACCAGAGGGAAAGAGAAAAAAGAGAAAAAGAGAGAGGAGAATGTGGAGGAGGGGGGTAGGAGGGAGTGCGGGAGCGTGGCACAGTGACCCGGCCGCCTCACTAGGTCAGGCAGCGGCGCCACACGTGCTTGGTTCCCCTCTGCTTGGAAACCTCCCCCCACCCCTGCTTGGACCCCCCCCCCCCCGCCTCGTCCCCACAGACCGCCGCCGCACCTGATCGAGGACTCCCGCGCGGTTCGGACGCCGGGCCCGCGTGCCGAACCGCGCGGGCCTCGCCTCTCCCGAACCCGGTGCGCCAAAGAGTCCTCGCGGCGGGGAATGGGCGCGTTGGGGAGAAGAGGGCGTGGGTAATGTGTGACTCTGGGCGACGCGAAGGAGAAGACGAGGAAACGGAGAGGCAGAACGAAGCAGGTTCCGCCGCCGAGATCGCGTTGCAGGGCGTCGAACCGAGCGCCCCGACTGCTATGTGGATGTTGGACTTGTTTGTCGGCAATGTGTGGCTCTCTTGCTCTTGACTTATGCGTGCGCACACGCACACGCACACATACACACATACACACGCACGCGCACACACATACACATTTTCAAAATGAAGCGATGAAGCACCTCAACGAGCCATGGTATATTCTTCATACTGGCAGCGTAAACAAACACGCGAACGAGACGAACGGTAATTAGGCTCATGAAAACAGCTTTTTTTTCTGGGCCAACGACGCTCTCTTCCCACGTCGGTACTTAAGGCCTAGAGAGCGCGGGGCCAAGGCAATCCGACCTAGAATACGGCACGTGCATATAGGCCTAGGGAGATAGAATGTGGCACGTGCATGTAGGCCTAGGGAGATAGAATGTGGCACGTGCATGTAGGCCTAGGGAGACGAAATTATAGTACATGTATACAGGCCGAAAGACCTAAATACTGCACAGGCAAATAGACATAGAGACCGCGGGCCTATGGCGATTCGACATAGAATATGGCACATTCATTTCGGCTTAGAGAGCGCGGGGCCACAACGATTGTTGACACATTGAATAAGGAACATCACAATTCTCGGATTTAAAAGTAATCTCAAACGGGTATCAAAGACAAATGATCGACAGTAAAGGAAAAAACGAAGATAAGAATATTGGGGGGAAAAAGAAAGATAAGGAAAAGGAAAAACAAAATATTTATCGACTTCTCTCCGGCGCAGGCATCCGCTGTATCGAGGCTTCGCTTTGTGTGTCACAAGGCTGCGGCGCCGGCGAATTCTGCGGCTTCACACACACGTACAAGTACAAACATGCATACACACACACACACACATACACACACACAACAGAGAGAGAGGGAGAGAGGGAGGGGAGAGAGGGAGAGAGAGGAGAGAGAGGGAGAGAGGGAGAGAGGGAGAGAGGAGAGAGAGAGAGGAGAGAGAGAGAGAGAGAGAGAGAGAGAGAG